TCCTGGCAGCCAAGCTACTGAGTTGCGGCACCTCTTGACCGGGCCTGTGGGTCAAGGGAACGGGAAGAGGGCCCTCAGTGATGCCAGGTTCGGGCGCCATAACAGACTTAGCACCTGCAGCCACGCATCAGGGAGCGGGGTATCTGCAGTCGGGCCCCCGACCGGAAGGGAAGGCAGCTGCCCTGCATCGGTAGGAGGTGCACCCAGTGGCTCAAGGCCTGGCCGCTCAGCACCGGCCGTCGTCTCAGTGGGCTTGGCAGCCATGAGCAGAGTGCCATCCATGGCCGGGCCGGTGGACGAACCCAGGGACACCCCCGAAGTAAGAGCGGTGGCAGCAGTCAGGGGGAGGGGAGAAAGGAGAAGAGGGGGCGGCGTAAAGGAACCACTGCCTGGATCGAGGCCCGCTGGTCATTGGGGTCAGACCCAGGGCCTCGATCGCCTCAAAAATGGAGCAGAAGTCCCCACCCGCTATCCCGGGGTCCTCCCCGCCAGCGACCAAGTCAGCACTCACCTCGGTGCTACTGGAGAGCGCAGATTATATGGGGATATGGGGGGCTCCATCTGAGGCCCCCACAAGAAGGGACTCCAGAAGTGGGGAAATTCTGCCCCCTATTGCTGCCACGACTTCCCCAGCTGCCTCTAGTTGTTGGGCCTTATCGGGGGCGCGATGGAAGGCTCTACAGCAGCAACGCCCCTCCGCATCAAGGGGGAGGTGCTGAGCCCGTATCTTCCGCTTGCCCCACTTCCCCTGGACAAGGACCCAGCCCTCCAAGATGTTAGCGGAGGGGTGGGGCCAGGGGGCAAGGACGATGGTACTGGAGGTCGGAGAGGTAATGAGGGGGGGGCAGAGCAGGGAAGGGAAAGCTCCCCCTGGGGCGGGCCCTCTTCCATGCCCGGACGTGGCTTTGCTGTCCTCTCCTCCGCAGACCCTGCTGAACTACATATGATGGAGGTGGGGCCCGCCTGCTCGTCTGGGTGCAACGGGGAACTACCCCCGTGGCCCGAATGGAGGCAGTGGCAGGCAGGGGAGAAGGAGGGATGACTACTGGTGCCAGGTAACCAGGGTCGCTGGTGGTGACAGGGCTGGTGCCCTCCCGGGACTCGGGGCTCCCAGGAGTCCCACGGTGCCGGGCCAGGGGCAGACGTGCCCTGTCGCCCAGCAGAGGTAACCCTGGGGCCTTCTCTGAAGAGTAGTACACCCGATACCAGGTCACCTGGGGGGCACCAAAAAGGACCCGTCACACGCCGGCGGCGGCAGTTGAATCTGCACCTGCCAGCATAGGCGCCAACCTCTCATGGCGCCAGAAGGTGCTCATGCCCCCCACGCCCCCGGCCCTACCCCAACTCCACCCCTGCCCTGCCCCTATTCCAACCCCTTCTCCCAAAGTCCCCACCCCAACTCCGCCCCCTCCATGCCCCTATTGGACCCCTCCCCAAATCCCCACCCCAGCCCCGCCTCATCCCCTGAGTGCGTTGCGTTCCCCCTCCTCCCTCCCAGCGCTTGCTGTGCGAAACAACTGTTTTGCAGTTCAAGAGTTGGGAGGGACGGGGGGAAAGCGGGCATGAGGCATGCTTGCGGAGGAGGTGGAAGCGGAGTGGAGGCGGAGGTGAGCTGGGGTGGGGCGGGGAGCTGGCAGTGGGTGCAGAGAACTCACCAATTTTTCCCCGTGGGTGCTCCAGCCCCAGAGCACCCACGGAGTCAGTGCCTATGCCTGCTGGTGGAATGAGAGGACGTGACAGAGGGCGGGGTCCTTGCAGCCTAGCAGGAGAGGGCTGATCACCAACAGGGGCTTCCCCAGGGAAGAAAGGAAAGGCAAAATGGCAGCATTGAGAAAGAAGGGTGGGACAAAGGTAAAAACCACCTGTACCCCCAGGTCTTCCAAAGGCTCTAGGGGGACGTACATGCCCCCATGGCCAGGCCCTTCTCCACCACTTCCTGGGCAGTAGTCTCAGATGCCAGGAAGACGACCACCTTCCCGTACATCTTAGAGGCTGCCTCCAGGGCCCGCACATAGGTCTCGACATGGGGCGAGGTGGGAAACAGGAGGCAGCGGATGCCATGCTTCCTGGTCAGGGTGGGAAAGGGGCCCCGGCTGCCAGGAATGGAACTGGAGGCAGTGGCAGGGGTAGATGACAAAGTGGCGGGCAGAGGGACTGCCACCACCTGGGCATATGGTCTGGGGGATGGGGGAGGGACGCCCCCAGAGCTGGTTGAAGGAACGGCAAGGGATAGGGCAGGGGGACCCATGGCCAATGGCAGGGCCACAGTGGAGGGTGCAGCCCCTACTACGTAGGGGCTTGGGGTGCCGAGTGGGGCTTTTGACCTTTTTCTTCCTCTGCCCTTTCTGTCAGTCGAGGGGGGGGGGCTCCCCAAGAACAGAGGAGATAGGAGGCATGGCAGCAACAGAATCCATACCCATGCCTGCCACCGGTACCCCAGCGGGGGCAATGGCAAGCAGTCTGGCAGCAGCGGTCGAGAGGGAAGCCTCAGGGACAGATGGGAGAGCAGGTGGAGGAGAGGCAGCAGGGGCAACCCTGGGGGGGGGGCCCACCTGCCGTTTCCCCCACCATTCGCAGAGGGGACAGGGACGAGCACTGAAGAGAAGGGGGAAAAAAGAGAGGGAAACGGGAAGAGGTAAAGCCAACCACTCCTCCCCGCTAGGCTGCAGGCAGGGGAGGAGGGCGCCAAGGAGAGGAGGGGCTCAGGGACAATCAAGGCAGGAAGGGGGGGGGTGCGATCACTGACACGTGGTGGAAATACCGGCTCCTCTGGCTGCACTGGGGAGGGGAGTGATCACAATATCATAAGGGGGTGCAGTGAACAAAGGGGCTCAACAGAAAATGGGAAGGGGCACAAGCGCATGGCAGGGACATAGGCGCATGGAGTGAGGGGGCTGAACAAGTGGGGGGGGGACAACAAAAGGCGAGGGGAGAAAGGAACGGGCTGGAAGCAGACTGGGGCCAGGGTAGGAAACCCACTGGGACCAGCAGCAAGGGCCAGAGCAGGGCAGGCAAAACTAGCAAACACCAAGGGACTGGAGCGGGGCAGGCAAACAAACAGAAAGTGCCAGAGGACTGGGACCTGGGCCGGGAGGCAAAAATAGGCAGCAAGGGGCGGGCGGGACAGGCAACACAGGGAAAGGGGGCAAACTGCTGTGGGGAGGCCTGTGGGCAAAGAAGAGGGTGGGTGAAGCCCACCTGCCGAGAGCAGCAGAGGAAGGGAGGGCAAGTCCAAGGGGATGGGAAAGGCATGTGCGCTTGCGGTTTAAAAGCCCTTGCTCGATGCTGCAAAAGCCAGGTGGATAAAGGCCAGGCAAGCGGCAAAGTCCAGGAGCGGAGAGCAGTCAAAATGGTGAGAAGGGGTAATGGAGGGGGGTGGCAGCGGTGGTGGTGAGGGTGGTAGATGGACTAGGGGGAGGGCTCAATGTCTCCCCCCCCACCTTCCGAACAACAACAAGAATCACCACCACAGGAGTAAAGATGTTAAAGTCACTCAGTCTTGTGAAAAAAACTCTCCACAATGTCCTGCAGTAGCTCCAGGTGTACCACGCACTGCAACTCCTCTTCCTCTTCCTCACACCAGCAGCAAGTTCCACAGCAGCAAACAGCCAGCCGAGAGAGCCCCCACAGATGGTAGCAGGGTCCCTCACTCCCCCTCTGGGGAGCAGGCCAGCAGGACTCCCCAAGGAATAGCTGCAACCAGCTGGTGAGGTAGCGGTCTGGCCCAGACAAAAGCTAAAGAGGGTGCTCTGGGCCCAGTAACAGCAGCTCCACACCCACAAGAGAATGGTAGAAGACAGGCATATCAGCCCTAGAATGGTCAAGACCCTGTCCCCAGGAGCTGAAAACATCTTATCTCAGGTCAACAAGGGACTCCCGAGTCCATTTAAGGATCTTTAAAAAACCCTTTTTCTGGTGAGAGAGAATGAGGAGAGATGGAATATAAGTTGTGGCAGGAAGAAATGGCTTCTCCTAGGTGTAAGGCGGCTCTCTGCCCTATAGGGGAAGCAACCATGCTAACAGACTGTTTGGGTAAGGACTGGCATCCAGAGGCCAGCATAATGAGGCAATACCCACCCAGGGAAAGGTATTCTCTTTTTGTGTGGCTGAAAAGTACTTCTTGGCCTCCTTTTTACCTTGTAAATACTGAAGAATAAAAACTCTCCAGAGTGGGACAGAATTACTCCAGGTGTGCCCTCCACCCCACCCCACCCCCACCCTCCCAGAGAGGGAATTGCTGAGCCTGGTGAGGTAAAGGAGGTGCTTTGCCACACTACACAAACAAGAGCTAATCTGGCCCATCCGCTCTCAACAATTTGTTGTTTACAATTTCAAGAGAATGCTCAGACTGGGACAAGTGGTGATTCGTATTAAGTACCTTTATACAGGTAGGCATAAACAAGATGTAACAAACGCCTTGCAGCAAGTAGAAGGCTTTAGAAAGGGCTATCAGGAACTCAGGAATTTAGCTTTTCTGTGTACTGACGCCTTTCTCTCTCATGGTTATACATATGTTTCTCTGAAAATTAGGATGATCTGAGGAACTATGGAGGTTCTTCATGGCTTATAGAGAGTTGAAATGTTATGTTCTCTTGGACCATTGATCTTTCTTTTGAGGAACTTTTAAGTGAAGGATTAGAAATGACATAGGTTGAGATGGAAGCAACATTCCTGACCTGCAAGACAGATATAGAAGTGACATGATCACTGCCACAGAAAAAGGAAAATATAACTTGCCTAATATTATGAGAATATGTATAATCATTTATCCAAATCATTGTTCCAATTGGCTGATTCGTGGAAAGAAACAAAAGCTGCTAGCTAATTTGCAGTTTAACCGGGAAAACACTCTTCTGATTTGTTGCCTGAATGACCATCACTTTAGCGATTATGACATTGGTATTCAGAAACAGCAGATTCCAATGAGCTGCTTTCTATAAACAGACTAAAGGATACAAGTAGAAGTGCCACCATTTCTTTTTGTCTCCTTCTTTGCACAGAAAGCCAGACTTGCTAGAATTCGAGCAGCAAAGAGTGGGACGGCTAATGCTTACATGCAGAGCAAACGAAATGGCTTACTGAGTAACCAGCTTCACCAGGTAATATATTTATGTAATTCAGCTCCAGAATAGCTACTTAATAATAGCACAGCTGCCATTTATTCTATTTATCATCAGGACTAGTCAATCTGACTCTATAAGTAAGACTATCAATAGAAGTAGGTTAAAGAAGGACAAATTGAACTATTATTGTTTAAGCAAGATTACAGGACTGGATGACAGTGTATAAAATAACAGAGGATGGGATGGTTCACAAACTCTGGATTCAAATACATCCCAAACTTAAACTGAAGTTTGGTTCAAATAAAAAGTCCATAGTTATCACTATCTCTCTGAGCCAAACCAAGACCCTGCATCTGGGCACCCTCAAATTTTGGAAAAATGTTGATCTAGATCTGATCTTGATGGTCTGAGAAATAAAATTTTAACTACAAATGTGCTCAAGCAACTAAATATAAATCTGGATTTTATACATCCCAAAGTTTGGAGTGTTGGGACCTAGAGGACGTTTTATGCCCATCTCTAATTTCGACATTTGATATAGTCCCATTTTCATCCCAATTTAGTTTAGTGCCCTCTAATGAATAATGATAAAAGCATTTAATAAATCAGGAAACGTTTTCTACATAATTCTTCATTCTGTGTCTGTAACATCTGCTGTACACTTTCTGAACTCAGTGGTTTGGGATTAGTCAGTGACATGATTTTTTTGTATAAAGGGTAATACCACAAATTCTTCAGCATTATTAAACAATCTCAAGAGGAAATAAGACAACTATATGCAATTTCTTTTTTAAAAAAGGCCCATACACAGGGGAAAATCTTTTACCATCAGTTAGATTTATGACCATTGAAGTGTGTGCTGATTTTACACTCAGCACCTTAACATGATGATTACATCTGTAAGTTGCATTGTTCTAACTATACACAAAAGGCCATCCAGTTCCGGGCACCACACTTTATCAATGATGTGGATAAATTGGAGAGTCTAGAGGAGAGCAACAAAAATGACAAAAAGCTTAGCAAACCTGAGCTATGTGGAAAGGTTTTAAAAACTGGGAATGTTTAGTCTTGAGAATAGAAGACTGAAGAGGAACCTGATAACAATCTTCAAATATGTTAAGGGCTGTTATAAAGAGGACAGTGAATAATTGTTCTCCATGTGCACTGAAGATAGAACACAGAAGTAATGGGCTTAATCTGCACCAAAGGAGATTTAGGTTAGGTAATTAAGGTCTGGAATAGGCTTCCAAGGATGGTTGTGGAATCCCCGGCACTGGAGGTTTTTAAGAACAAATTGGACAAACACCTGTCAGGGATAGTCTAGGTTTACTTGGTCCTACCACAGCCCAGACTTGATGACCTCTTGAGGCCCCTTCTAGCCCTACATTTGTATGATTCTGTGGAAATGCTGAGGTTTGAGACATTCAAGAAGGGTTGCAAGGAAAGCAGAGAAAATATTTTGATTAATACACAAAAAAGACATCATGCGCAAACTGATTTATTTTATATCATGTAGTTTTGCCCTGATAAAGCACTGCAGATATACTGCAGTATACATCCCCAGTCTGTTTTCATCTAATATTTGGCTAAGAGACTTTTGTTCACAAATGAAAATAATAGAGAATTCTATGTATTTACAGTCCAACAAGGAGGAAGAACAGAACTTTCTTAGCAAATCTGGCTCTTCCTTTGAAACACAGCACCACCACCTGCTTCACTGTCTGGAAAAAACCACGGTAAGAAAATGGAATCAGTGTCTTCCTGTAAACCTAATTTTGGTTTTGTAGTAGCTTATTTCTCCTAATTCCTCATGTTACAGTCCTTACCCAGGACCAAAGGCTATTTTATAGATTGGGCTGATTTAGAAATTTTCTAGTTTATTTTCATGCAATGTACGTAGTAACATTTAAAGATCATAGGTCAGATTCTCAACTGACATAAGGACATTAACCTTAATGGGACACCCCAATAGGCTCCAGCTAAGGATCTGGATTTATATATATTTATACAGAGAAAGGGTTAGTTTATGATTTGCATGTTTATACACTGTGCTGCAGTAAAGTTTCTAGGGATTCCATCCTCCAGTCCTTACTCATGCAAAATTCCCAATTCAGGCAATGCAAGCTTTCTCCTTAGCAAGGATTGAAGTTCTGGGTCTTTAGGTTCAATCTTATGAATTGCTGAGCACCTCCTGTGATGTGAGCACTCAACTCCAATTTAAGTGAGTGCAAGTTGAGAGTACTCACCATCTTAATCTGCAACTTCATCCTCTGAATTGAGATGCAGGTGCAGTGCTACTGAATCGTTTAGCCCAGGGGCGGGCAAACTTTTTGGCCTGAGAGCCACATCGGTTTCCAAAATGGTATGGATGGCCGGTTAGGGGAGGCTGTGTCTCCCCAAACAGCCAGGTGTGGCCCGGCCCCTGCCCCCTATCTGACCCTCCCTCCCGCTTCTCACCCCCTGACGGCCTTCTACCCCATCCAACCCCCCGTTCCCTGTCCCCTGACGGCCCCCCAGGACCCCTGCCCCATCCACCTCCTCCCTGTTCCCTGACTACCCCTGGACCCATGCCCCGGACTGCCCCCCACCGCCCCATCAACCCCTCCCCTCAAATTTCTGACTGCCCCCTGGACGCCTGCCCCATCCAACCACCCCTTCTCCCTGACTGCCCCCAGAACTCCTGCCCCTGACTGCCCCCAGCTGCCCCATCCACCCCCCCCTCCTTCCTGACTGCCTCCTGGGACCCCTGCAGCCATTCAACCCCCCCCTGTTTTCCCTCTGACCCCCCCAACCCCTATCCACACCCCTGCCTCCTGACGACCACCCCGAACTCCCCTGCCCTCTATCCAACCTCCCCTGCTCCTTGCCCCCTTACCGCGCTGCCTGGAGCAACGGTGGCTGGCGATGCTACAGCCGCACCGCCCAGAGCACCAGGGCAGGTATCCCTGCCGCACCCATTGAGCCAGCCAAGCTACCGCACGGCATCGCGG